TTGAACTGTTGTCGCCGGAATGATGGTGTTCTGACCGCTTCACGGTGAACTTTTTTTTAATGGCCCATGCTTTTGTAGATCGCTTGCTTGAGCTCATTTTTTGGGGGCCTGGACTTTTGTGTTCACACCACTATGAATAAATAGCGTATGATTCATGTAAAAAGTTGATAATACCGAACAAAGTGTGAAAATAACCGCGCTGAATGAAGCCTTGGAATGACTTGGACTCGGACTTATAAATATACGAACCGTTTGCATAATTGCATAGCAATTTTATTTCCAACTATTTTAATTTCAAGTGTGAAATTACAATGTTACTTAAGTACTGTTGACGAATCAAAAACTGGAATAATAACAACGCCGAAGAAGAAAATGAAAACGAAGACGCCAAAAATTGTGTGTAAACTTTTTCTCGCTCGGTTATAGTTCGAGCAGCGCACCATGTGGAACAGGATTACATTCCAACAAGCTCATAAAATAGCAATCTTCGCCAACACCAAACAAGAAAAACGAACGTGAAAAAAGACTTATCTTCTTTTCACAGTTAACTGAGGCGATGAAGTTGAAAACAACAACAACAACAAAACATTGTCGCGCGCACAGTTTGCTTATGCAAAGACAACAATGTCAGCGACTTATTTACTTTACTATTGTCTCTTCGCGCTTTATATATCATATTCATTTGGAGTTTTCGCTTTCGTTTCGACGAAATGAGGAGCAAAAAAACTTCGACGATGACAACAAAATAACATGCATAATCTTTAACGCTTTACTGCGAATCACCGCGTCGATTTAATTTCAAGACAAACACACAAAAACTACGTAGATACGTGCGAGCAGTCATGTTTTTTTTCCGTGAATTCAAAGATTCGAATTTGTTCCAAACTAAGAAAAAAATGGTTCTTATCCAATGGTCGAATAGAGGAATGAACTGTGTCCTTTGCTCCATTCGAGATGCTGCATATCTAATTTGGATTAAACATCAATGACACATGGAATTATACTGGTCATTTAATAATATCATAGATCAACCCGAACAAATCAACCAAATTAAATATGATATACATACCAAAATGTGTAGTGGAGAGAAAAATCAACGCGATGACAACAACAAAAAATGCTAGTGTGAGCCATTTTTTGTAATTCAAATTTATAGTTTTTGCGCATAAATTTAAAATAATTAATGTGCGGAATGAATGAGAACGGGAGAGAGAAAAAAAATACAAAAATCAGTTTCAACCCGCTCAATGCATTATAAAATTGAGCGTTTTTTTTCTGTTCGAACAGTCACAATATCCAAATGCCATGAGTTTGGATCCGGGCAGCAAACTCGACACAAAGCCGTTTTACATATATTTACCAATTGGACCAATGCGATTTTCCGCATTATGATTCTTTGATGAACGTATACAAATCCTGGGCTTGATCTTTTTTCCCCTATTTTTTTTCGGATCATTCAAATCTCCGATTCGATCTAATATTAATCTAGATAATGATATAGTTTATAAACTTTTTTGTTGCGGAAAAATTTCAATATATAAACAAATTGAATTAGTTCTATTCCGCAAACTAGTTTCTATTGATGATAATAAAAGCAGCAAAGCTTCGGCTTAATTCTTTTTTATTATCATAATCCACGAAATGGGAACGAGCGCATTTAACAAGAAAAAAAAACACATACTCTGACCAATGGAACATTCAATTTGAGTGTGCAATTAGCAAAATCTGGTTGCCATTATGTGTGTGTGTGTGTGTGTATGTGAGTCATTTCTCAAGCAACAGCTCGCATGAGATTATGTGATCTGTGTGTTTATGTGTCGTCGCTGATGATTTCCATTTCCGTGACTTTAAAAAGTCAAGGGATTAACGTAAAGTGAGTGCATTTGAACAATTCAAATGAGGAAATCGAACGCACTTCCCGAACAATTAACCGAGAGTGAGAAAAACAGTAGAAAATGTTATGTTAACATAGAAAAAAACACAAAAAAGTGATGCCATGTGCTGGAAAAGAAGCATTGGATTGTAATACACAGTGTGATTGCGATCGCAAACGAGCATGAACGTGAATGCTGTATGTGTGAACGCGAAAACGACAATAAGCATAAGTGCAATAATTCAATGATGTATTGGCTAATGAAATGCACAAAATGTGCGAGACTTGTTTGTAACTGATCTTGTTAATGAATAATGGACGAACATTGTAAAAACATGCGTGCACGTTTGATCCGATGTGCGAATGCACATGCACACAGCATGAGCGTGTCCAAAGTCCCAAAAGAGTCACAATAATAGCACGGCAAAATTCAACATCAGAATCCATATTGCAATTTTACAAATTAAAACTATAATTTCCATTTGATTTGATTTGATCGCATTTTATGCAAATTGTAAGAGCTCATTTTATCCTTGCGCTTGCATACCAAACGCTGTTTTTTTTTGTCTCGCATGGCGTCAATGAACCGCCGCATGAACCAAACGAATGGAGAGATAGACAGAGAGTGAAAAAATTTAATCTACTATTTATCATCCAAAGATATGTGTATTATTCTTTTGGCGCGACATGACATCGGCGCTGTTTTTGCATCTATTTTCCATTATTTTCCCTTCATTTGCCGCTGATAAAGTGAAAAGAACAAAGAGCCAAATAGGAAAACTAATAATATTACGGACATTACAAAAGCCAAATGCCGATCCAAACTGAAAGCGTGCTGCACATACAAACAACGAACCGACGATGATTGATCATGGAATGGATGGAGAAATGGAAATAGTGTACATTGTGAATGCACACACAAATTGATTTCTCATATTGTAAACATCGACAAATAATATCGGCACATTGAAAAATGTGTGCCGTTGCCACTCAAACGTCGGTCGGTCGACTTGCTGCTGCTGCTGCTGCTCCGTCATGATTGAAGACAGAGCAATTGTTGCAACATTGATGTGATGTCTTCAGACCGGCAAACGAGGAATTACAAAATCAAAACAACTGAATCGAATTGATTGTTTTTGTTGTTGTTTCCTCGTTTGTTTTTCGGTGCATTTGTGTTCGCCGTGTGTACACACACTGTCTGTGTTTGTGTGAGTGTGTTGCAGTGCCTGAGTGGATGTTGTTCGGTGAGCGTTCGAGCGTTTAGCGAATCGATTTAGATATGTGTGTGCTTGCACCCAACAACCATTTCCGTTTGCACAATCACAATTGCTGACAAACCGGCGACATTTGCTGTTGCAGCACACCATCACACACACGACAGCATCAACAATGCACTGGTTTTTGTCTACCTTCTGAAAAAAAACACCCAAAGAAAACGACACAAAAAAAAACGAGTGAGAGATTTCATTTTACGCGTTTTACTTATTTTCTTTTTCATTTTTTTTTTACAGAGCGAGCACGGCTCTTCTCTTTTTCTCTATGCACACATGTTATGTCGTTTTGTTGCGTTTTCTTTCAGTCCGTGACACAAGCGCCCGAACAATTCGCTGCGCGCAATGAGCAATAAATGCAAAATACACGAGCGCCCCGATCAACACAGCACCAACAATAACAGAATAGCGACGATGTTTAAATTTTAAATTATAAAAATATGTACTCGAATGGCAAATGAGTAGAACAGAGAAAGAAAGAAAGAATCTAGTCGCTAGCACAACAGCATAATTCGATGATAGAAAGGAGCAGAAATGAGGTAGTGCACGGCACACCGACAGAGACACACTGCAAGAAAAAAAACAAGCAGATTTCAGAGCGAGAAAATAGAAGTGGCGAGAAGCAGAAAAAAAGTCGTAATCCATTGCATAGTGAAGTGGCATCATGATATTTGTAATGCGGCGTCTATTTTTGCGTGCGTCTCTTGCTGAAACCCGTTCAAATATACATTTGAAATATAAGTTTTGCTCATTTCTTTCTTTCTTTCGTTTTGTTTTTATTTTATTTTCCTTCGGTGAGTGTTTGGTGCTGTGCTGTTGATGCCATTTTTTTTTCTGCTGTTGCCCGTGCTTGCTGCTTCGCATAGATTATGTTCCTTTGAGTAATGACTGCCATTTGGATTTTATTTCAACTGTAAATGCATCGCATAGCAGATAGGAGAGTCAAAGCTGGCACTAAGAAGATTTGTACAATTGTCGGTTTGATCCTTGTTGTCTTGACTCCAAAAGAGCATACACCGGCTAAAGCCACACCGACAAACATACGACGATGACGACGACGACGGCGACGACGATGAATAGGATGGATGCCGACCCATCCGTCGTGTTGGACGACGGAAAACATTCAATCTCTCAAGGTCCATTTCGTTTGACCAAATCCGGGATATTTTAAAGCGACAAATTGATTGATATTTCAGATGTACATATTACATGGCTTCGTTTTACCAGGCCACTGAACAAATGTGTGTCTTTATCAGTTTGGTTTTGCCTTAATGTGACCGTTCCGTGCTGTTTGGCTACAAATCACTCAATTTTCTGGTTTTTGAAAAATGAAACGAGCAAGCCGCACTCTGTCACCGCTGCTACTGCTGTGGAGCGCAAGTTGTATTGGATCTGATAAGAGACAAACACACCACGGCGAAAAAAAGGAAAAGAGAGAGAAAGAATTGAAGAAAAAAAAGCGCCGTCGATTACGTAATCCGTAAGTCAAAACCAATCAATTTGAATGACAGCATATTTTTAATAGGACATTGAGTTGTAAAAAATCCAAATGGATTTTCTGGTCGATTTGAGATTAATTACGAATCAATTAGGACGGTTGGTGTGTGTGTTATATCTTTTTTTTAAATTTCACTTTGCAGCCAAATGTGGAAGTGTTTTGCTAATTAGCCTAATGTATCGGATGTCCGTTCGTTTCGATCATTTAATCCAGTTCGGTTACACTTGTCTCGTTTCTTTGTTGGTGGTTCTTTTTTTTTATCGTTATCGATTCCTAAGACTATGAATGTTTGGTTAATGTGCAAGACAGACGACAACAGTGAAAAAAAAAAAACAAAAGAATAACAAACAAAACTTACTTAATCTTCCGAAGCTGTGCGATAATCGCTTTTTCAGCTTTTGAAGCGCACCTCCTTTTTTCTCACGCATTGTGACACCTGAAATGAGACAGAGAGAAATTAGCCATTTAGAATCCAATTAGAAATATTTTACAAATGTAATGAATTTTTTTTTGTGCTGTTTCTCGTTTCGTTTCGTTTCGTTTCTGTTTATTTTTCTAATGTATTGTGATGGGTTTGTGCCATTGAGTGAGAAAAAAAAAACACAAAAACGAATTGTTTTCTTTCTCAAGTATGGCGTTTTTGTTCGATTTTATGTCGAATTCCGTCTACAATAAAATGCGATTCAATTGTTTCAAGCGAGAGAGTGAAAAAACACACACAAAGAATAACTCGGATTGTTCTCCGATTTTCTTGGAAATTTAAAACCATTTCTACGAATAGTGAAATTGGAACGAATGAATAAAAAACAACAACAACTGAAGATGATAGAAAAAACGGTATGAGACGAGCGAATGGATAAGTGTGGAGAAAAAATGCCAGAGATAAGTTAATGAGTTTCTTCGCGTCTAGCAAGTGCATTGCATTCTTCGTTAATGATAGCCTCAACATTCAGCACGAAGTAATTTTGATAATATCGCCGACGCGCGCGCTTTTTCCTCCTCCTCCACCATCTCCAGAATGATGATGACGACGACGTGCCGCTGAATGACGCCGAGATAAATAAATAGCGTGTTTTCATACACACAATTTTTTCTATTGTGCAAATCGAAGCGTTTAAAGCGTGTTGGCGGTTTTTGGAATGGGTTTTCTTTCGGTTCTCAAACTCACTCTCTATCTGGCTTTTACTAATCGTGCAATTCATTTTGCAATTTTCGGATAAAAGAATGCCAAGCTTTTTTTGCTCTTCTCTACAATAGTTCGTGAGATTTATCGGCCGTACGATTTTCACTTTGGCCAGCAGCAGTAGCAGCCATCGCCACACCAATAGCAGTACATCGATTAAAGAAGATGCGATTCGTTCATTGCATTCTCACCGTATTCAAAATGCTGTGTGTGTTCGATCTTGATTGAATTTGATTTACGGTAATTCCCATAAGTTGCGATCATTTACTCTCTTACTTCGCCGAAGCTATCTATCGGCCTGGCGACGAATACCGATGGAATAAATGTCATGGCCGTTATTTGAGCGCAGAACAATGGTGATTTTTGTTGTTATTACAAATTTTATGATTTCCACACGCAAACGCTTCGTCATGAATTTGGGACAGTGAACGCACGAATACTGTGTACGGTGTACACTGTACAGTGTACAGTGTACACCCTCTCTCCCGAACAAACATACCGCGGTGTGTTATACCGATAAGATAGCCATTTTTAGAAAGAAACACAATGATTCATATTTAAGATCACAGCATGATTAGTGGTATGTAAATCACCCTGACACCCAGAATTTATACGGCCAACGAGCTAGAGACAAAGACGGAGCGAGAAACAGAATGAATGAGAAAGGAAATTGTATTCCAACACTATGGCATCTGTTCCATTTTTTAACTGAAACCTATGACTATTCTGACTTAGTTGTCATGGTGGGATTGATTTCATTTTCTCTTGCATTCGGCAGTGAAAATGTGTTCCATTTCGACACACACACACACAGAGAGAGAGAGAGAGAGAGAGAGAGAAAGAAAATTGAGCGCATCGGAATCCATTTAAGCTAAAAACGTGATATTTGAAAGAAACAACAGACTGCTGCTATGGATCAATGTAGCAACATGTACAGTGTATACTACAGGCATCGCTTGAGCTACACTCAAACACCCAAAGCCGAAACCAAATAATCCGAGTGTTCAGCTGCAATTACAAACGTGGAGATTATTTCACCCGTCATTTGTCGGAAATTGAGCGCAAGCGAAGTATGTATGACTCCCTGTGTGTGTGTGTGTGTATGTGTCGGCATTTGAAATGTAAATGTGCTCTTCTTCGGCGTCGTCGTTGTCATCGTCAAAATGGACACGTACAAAGTGTTTTTTTTTCCCGTTCAGTACATTAAAAATGATACAAATGTAATTACAAGCGAGTAGCTTGAATGTTATTTAAAGAAAAACTCAAACAACTGAAATTTTTACTTGAAAAAAATACACGAAGAGAGAAACAAACAACAGTTAGACGTTTTATTTTTATCGAATTCGTTTATTGGATGACATATGGCACTGACACTGACATATGACATCAGAATGTTCAGAGCGTGTACTGTTCTATTTCCATTTAGACGCGATAACTTTGTGTATTCGTCATATAAATGGTTTTTGTTGGTCTTTTTCGTTGTTGTTCTGTTTAATTTGTCGTCGATTGCGTTTCATTTGAAATTGTTTCCAGCGTCGAAACAACAATTCATTTGCATTTATCTAATTTCTCGAGAAAGAAAGAAAAAAAAATTGGTGTGTTTGTGTATGTTAGAAGAGTCATGTGGTAGTCTCATCGAAATTTCTCGATATATTTATAGGGAAATTATAATATTTTCGTCTTGCTCGCGAACGAGAATGAAACGAAGGAAAAAGCGAACGAGCAACCAACCTGGCGACAAATTACTTGAACTTAACGTATTCTTGTAATCCCTGAACTGTGACGTTAACAAACTAGTTCACATCGCATTATTGATTGAATTTTTTTATATATGTTTATGGTTATATTGGTTGCCGATATCCATTGAACGGCATAGAAAATTAAAAGAAAGAGCTAAAAAAATCAAAAACGCCGTATAAAATGCAGGCACGCACACAAACTTTGCTATGGCCCTGAACAACAACAGCAGCGGCGGCAACAGCTCATTCAATTCGCTGCTATCGTAGTACATGTCAAGTGTATGACTAATGCTTTCAATTATTGATGAATGTAACGGTCAACGAATCCAAGTGAATTGATTTTGAATGACAACAACAACAAGAAAAAAAGCACAAAGAAATTCGGTGTTGAGTGTGGGATTAAAATCGATAAAAGTCGGTCATGCCGTCTTATCATTTTTTTGGATGTTTGAAAATTGATAACAATTTCAATTGTTTCGAATGCAATCGTTCAACGGTGCATCGAACAAACGACCGAACGACCGGCCCGACCAAACAAACTACATGTATACCCCATACACATGACGAATTTTGTTTGAAGTGCAAATGGAAGCTCTACCATCCATGCCAATGCACAGTGTAAACAATTGTGAATAAGAAGCGTAGCGCGGTATGACTATACGTATATGTGGCTAGACAAAGCCATCTGATCAAATAGAGAAGCGATAATAAAATGTTGATCGTGGAAGAATGAATGAAAAATGGCATTTCGTGTACCAAGTCAATTTGGACTGTGTATTTGTGTATGGGTATGCTTTTATTTTAACCCAATTCTCATTTTGGACCATAGTCTTGTACGTTTGTTTCTTTTATTACTTTCGTTATCGTTGTTATCAAAATGATAGAAAAGTATAAATTCAATAGAAGTTGTTTGTTATTTTTATTCTCATATGGTGTGCACAGCGTCCGTGCTCGCGCTCCTCGTATTTTATGCATATATTGTATATCGTACAAAGCGAGCGCAACACGTTTATGCCACTATTTACGAATTTAAGTTATCGAGCAAACAGTTTATGTTTATGTTATTCATTAAAAGCGTTCATTTCATTTGGTTTGCTTTTATCCATACACAAATACACACACACACACATTCGCTTGCACATCAACACATCGGTCTTTGAATTTGGTGGAAGGAAGCGGGTGGGAGAAGACGAGAGTGTTTGTGTGTATGGTTTAAGAATTCCCTTATCGGAAGACGCGTGTACATTGTACACCTTTCCTTGACTGTGTGTCTTGGTGTTATCGCTAAGACAAGAATATAATCGAACATAGGAAATGATGACGGTTATATGAGGGCCCAAGAAGTGTTTTCTTACAACCGAACTACGCTCGCTTCATCGATTAATTGTACATTTGATATGCATTTGCGACAGTGATTGCATCGCATTTGAAGGCGTTTAGAAAGTTTACATCGAAACAACTGGATATGATACGGTGAAAGAAGAAAAAAAAGAGCACCGTACATATGGGATTCGATATGATTTATTCAGGGGATTTTCAGACGTTCCTACACGAATCTAATTGATATGTGATATTATCAGCGTTTTGTAGCTGCAATGAAAAACAAGAGCAATGACAGTAATGTGAATACAGTACACGAGATCAAGTCGCATATCACTCTCGTAGCGAGAGAACGAGCGAGCAAGCGAGCAAGCGAGCGAATTACACTCGAATTAATCAAATTATATGCGCCAAACACGGACACGGACGTGCCATAAACTATATGAGATAGCAAGAGATTGAATGAAACGGCAAATGGGCGAAAAATAACTCAACATTACCGAGTAGACAGATCAACAAATGCTCATAATCAAATAGTTAATAGAGGAATAAAAAAAAAGGAATATAGATGAATTCATTTATGCCGCTTTGGCATGGCACTCGAAACGGCGCAATGCGTTGATAACACGACACAACAAAAGTATGTATGCATACATTAATGAAGTACTTGCGCTGCAAACTGTCTTTTTCGCTCTGTGACTGTGGCTCTGGTTCGGTCTCTCACATAACGAAACCGAAACCGAACAAATTCGATGAACAAACTATAAAATAATTGAAACAGGCCAACGACTTTGCTATGTACACTTTTCCCTTTCTCTCTCTAGCTCTTTCGTCTCTATCTCTTGATTGCTATAATATCATGTTATTTATTGAGATTGAAATGTATTGCACAATGCTCAATTTGTAGGGAATTGCGTATCTTGTATATCTGCTTATCTGAAAAAGTGCGAATGAACGGCAGACACACACACACAGAGAGAGAGAGAGAGCTGATGACGCGCGCGCAAATCTACTATATAATAACATAATAACATTATAAAAGCATTCATTTAATTACAAAAGGTGTAACTGAAGATAGAACAAGCGCCCGCGCGCGCGCACACACACAGGCTAGCAAACAAAATGCGTGTATGTACGATGGATGTGTGCGAAAAGGCGCGTGTGTGACATGCTGGGGCTGCAATCAATCATGATTACTCATCTCGTAAACTCGAGTAATTGCACTATTTCTGATTATAATGGGCGCGTGTGATTTATCCTAATTTCATTTAGATAGAATCACATCTTTTGTTAGCGTTCTGCTTTTCTCTGTGTGTCACTGTTCACTCTATCTACGCGTTCGCAATCTGATTGACGCGTTGTATGACGTCCCATTACAGAGCGTTTACTCCAGGATTGTGATATTGATAAAAAGTCAGTTATGCAATCAAAAGCAATGAATGACGTTAGCTAAAATGTATCTTCTCTTCTACTCTAGTGCAAAAGGCGAACGTAATGAATCGCGTTAATGGAGGAGAAAAATTCGACGATCCAAAAGAAAGAGAAAGAAAGGGAACAAAAAATATGGAAACGCATTTAATTTACTAATTGATAGGCGAGTAAGGAAAATAAACTGAATGAACGAATGAACGCAAGAGAGAACGAGAAAAAAAAACGCACTGAAAACTGAAGAAGTGGAATTAGTGTGTGATGAAGCTGTGTCGATAATAATGGAAAAACACCTACACTTTGTTGTCACTTTGCCCGTTTCAAGCGAAATAATCCTGGCGCTTGGCTCAAACAGTTGCGACAGAATGGTTACGGTTTATTAAAATCACGCAGTTCACGAAAAAAAAATTGGTTTTTTGAACGAATGATTTCGTTCTGTTTTTCTTCTTCTTCAATTTCCTCTCCGGTTCGATTTCGTAGCAAATCGAGAGCCAACAAAGAAAATGTTGATGTTCAGCTTTTGTTTGGCTGATCCGTGTGTTTCTTTTGTGTTGCCTTCGTCGATGTGTGTTTTTTTATCGCTTTTATTTTTTTTTCTCTTAGCAGCTGCAGCAGCAAGCACTTAATAGGTTCTTTTATCGTTAATGCACGGAATCTGGGAGAGAATGGTGTATGTTATTAGCTGGTTTCTTCTTCATTCGGTTTATTAGCTATATCATGAAAATACGCGCACGCCCAAATAGAAAATTAATAAATAATTAAAATATGCATGGTGTTTTTCGTTCTCTCTCCCTCTCGCGGTGGTGATGTGCGATCGATTAAAATCAATGACAATGTGTATCTTGTCGCGGGCAGTGCGTTCGTTCATCTTGAGCATGGCTTGTTAGTGAGAGCGACAACAACGGCGAAGTGATGACGAATCCATCGTCCAATACTTAAATTGCCTTCGAAATGGCTACGTGTGTGTGTGTTGAACACGAACACGGCATAGGTAATTTCACTGTGTGCTATCACCGGTCGTGCTAGCTATTGCAAAGCGTTAGGCACAATTACAAGGCGTGAGCGGTAGTTACAGCGCGAATCACGGGTGACTCAACACACAGCTCGACACACGTCAAATTACATTATTCGGACTGCCGTGTGTTTACCTTTTGGATCAGTTTTAAAGCAATTTGTAATGAAGGTGCATTTTTGCCTTTTTTTTAGAGATTTCTCGCTATTTGCCTCAGCCAAATGTGGCTGTGTGTCACCGTTTGCTCACAAATTGCCGATTCAATTTGCTTGCACACATATTTTTTTCACTGTCTCTTTGCTGTGTCGAGCAGTATCTGATATTCGCTTTTTGTTTTCGCCGATTAACTCGGCCAGTTGGCGAGAAACAGTGGAAGAGGAAGGAGGGAGCAGAGAAATGTCGACAAAAACCATGTTACTGTAACATGCCACGAGCGATAAATGAATGCAAAATGCACCGTTTTTTTATCATGCGCTTCTTGGCTAAAGTTGATTGAGATTTATTGGGCAGTATAACTCAACTGACTGGAAACTATAGTTGCTTTCTCTCTCTCTCTCTCTTTCTCTCTTTTTGCGTCAATCAAAACCTCTCTCTCGTTCTCTTACTACTCTCCACATTCGATTGATGCAATTGCTAATTTCACCGTAGAAATTATGTGTGAAAAGTGTAGAGCATATTGAAAATGAACAACGATCTATGATTTCCCGGACAGGAAACGTAATGAGCACGCGATTGGGTGTTAATTTGCGGCCAATAACATGCATTGACTGAGTAGAGTCGGGCTATGCTAGCGAGATAAAAAGTCATTTGAATTGGCATAAGGTGCACAAATCACCTACGCCCCACGGCAATCACTGACAATGACAAACCGAAATGAATCATTTTGTATCGCAATCGATTCAACAATCAATCGAATTCGAATTTAATTTCATCGGTTTCTTGTGTCGAACATGTTTTTGTGGCGTGCGTGTGTTGTGCACTGTTTTTCGCTGCCATTTCATTCAATGGTGATTTTTCAGTATAAATGCTAGTATGATTTATGCCCAAAAATTATCGTTATTAATTTGCTTGTATAAATTGTTGGATAGCAGCACACAATAAGGATCGTTTGGAATTTTGCGAAATGGATTGTATGGTGTTTGCATTGCAAAAGACAAACTACATTGAGTCAAATGCAAACCCAAACTCAATTGACTAAGTGGTGTTTGAATTAAAATTCTGCAGCTGCATCCATGCCAGCCGTTTGGGTCGTTGTGTGCTGTGAGTTTGTTTGTGTGTTGTTGTTTTTTTTTCTTTCTCGGTTGGGTCGGAAAATACGCGAAATGCATGTGCAAGTGCAAAAGCGAGCCAGCGAAAAGAGAGAGAGAGAGAGAGAGAGAGAGAGAGAGAGAGAGAGAGAGAGAATGATATGAAAACATGCTCGCAATTCGGTATCGTTCGTATTCTGTTTATTTATTTACCACAATCATCAAGTGACTTAAAATGTATAATCAAAATGTAGAATTGAGGCTTTTATTCTTTTCGGGTGTTGCAACAAATTGCTTTATACACATCGAAAACCGAGTTAGCAGGAGAGTGGGACACACAAAGCGGCACAGAGACAGAATGCAAAATCGTGAACACTTTGCAATGGTAAAATTCAAAACGTTTTTGCTGGGCAAATGCCGAATAGTACACAGAAAACACACGTTGGATTTCGTTCGTTCGCTCGTTTGCGCTTTTATTTATTCAGTTTATTGTTAATGTTGATTTTGGGTATTTTGCACTTTATTTTGTTTTCTCTCTATATCAATCTTTGCATCTGTTACACGTACGCACACATACACCGACACACATCTGTTTGGCTTGTGCCTGGTTACTGTTGCTGCCGCTGCTGTTCTCTTTCTCTCTCTTGCTCGCTGTGTTCAGTCTCTTTGCCTTATCATTCGTCAGCTAGTATAACTATAACGTGGAATTGTCTCTTTTTTTATTCATTCTATTTCTGTATTTAATTATGACTCTCAGGCTAGCGTAGGTAAGCAGAACTTATATTTTGTTTTTCTCTTCTGCTATCTATTCGTTGGCCATCGAGGCAAAACAAAACAAAATAATCATAAAGTTTGCTGTATTTTTTCCGCTGTCTCTATCTCTATCTCTCTCTCTCTCCACTGCACTCTGTATTTTGCCCGCTGAATTATCGTGTCGTTTAGTTGTTTCGTCGAAGCTCTTAGCCGCATGAAATGAGCCTAATTATTCGAACGTTATGCAAAAAGTCTTCTTCACTGCAGGTTGTGTCCAACATAAATAGAGAATACGCGAGAGAGATTCAAAAGAGAGCGACTCCAATCCAATTTCAAATCAGTGGATGAAAAAAAAACCATGCAGCTGTATTTGAGCATACGTATCTTATTTGAACTTTTTCGATTGCTTTTCAATTTGTTTTGGGATTTTAAATAAATTAGGCTTAGATGATAATTTAAAGTTTTCCCATATTTTTGTGGGGTTGTCTGTTTTGTGTGCTCTGAATTCGTTGTCGTATCGACGACCTAAAACATGCTCACCAATGTGACATCCAATTACAACGATAACAAACGGCTTGAGGATTGTTTACTCCGTTAATATTAATTAAGCATTGAAACGCAGCACACACACAGCCACAATATGGAAAATACACATTGAAAATTGATTAACATTCTTACTCTTGCTCACAATCGCAATCGATTTTTTTCGCGTTTGTTTGTTGCACGTCCTTTGCCTTTGGCAATTCAAATACACAAGACTCTTTGTATTCCTTTTCAATTGACGAGAAAAAAGAAAAGAAGGAACCTTATTCCGTATGCTCGCTAAATTGTCTAACGAACAAACAAATGACGACGAAAAAAATTGTCTACTTTCGAATCGAACGAAAACACACTCGAAAACTTAACTTCTCTCGTACGCACATACACTATAACTATTGAACAAAATAGAATGAAAATGATGTTTATTTACTGAATTGATACAGCGTGTATGAGTTGAATTACAATCGGCGTCTCCGCGAGCGCGTTCACAAAATTAAGATTAGAGAAATTTGTTGTTGCTGTTGCTGTTGCTGTTGTTGGCTGCGATTTTATTACGGTTGTATTTATTTCGATTGCACTATGCAACTGTAGACAACGACCTTATTAAAATTGGTTTTTGTGTTCATTTGATTGTTATTGTTGCTCTTTTTTTCTTCGTTTGTTGCTCTTATTTGCTGATGTTTTATTTAATTCGTTGTTTTTTTCGCTAAAATTACGGAAAGTCGTTGAAAAATTGTCTGATTTGTTGCTTGCCGTAGTTGTTGTTGCTGTGATGGTTATTACTATTATTATTGATAATAATGCTACAGTTCGAAAACTGAATGCAATTGGCTTTACACACGATTATATTTCGATTTAAGTGCTTATATGTTACTAACGTTTGTTGGGCTGCTGTTGTTGTTGGTTTTTTTTCCGTTTTTCTGTTTATTCTACACCAATAATTTCTAATGTAATTTCAAGCAATGGCAACAAAAGCAACAGTACACACACAGCGGTTTGTATTCGAAATTGAACGATAAAAATGCACACACACAAAAACACTCTGGCAGATTTTTATGCTCAGCATCGACTCTTCTCGTTGAGTCGAACTTTGCGAAACTGAAGAAGAAATGCAATGTTTTTTCTGTAGAAAAATTACTAATCTGTTGCATGCAATTTCATTTGGTTGTGTTATTATTCTTTTTCTTATTATTTCCTCGTAAATTTGGACTTTGAATTTTATTCATGCAATTTCGCTTTGGACTATGCTCCACTTATTTTTTGGTTTGTTCACGTTTTGGCAAGCTTCTCCTATCTCTCACTCTTGTTCGTTTGAATTCCAATCACTTTAGACCACCAAATTAACTGCACCACAATTCTTTTCGTTCTTTTTTTTTTTGGTCAAATTGTTTAATGTTCCAAATTCCATAAAATGAACCGTTGGTTTATCAATTAACTGTTGTGTATCAATTGGTTAAACACAAAAGCGATTCTTCTTTTATTTGATCACCGATAAAATGATTATGATTGTTTAAAACCGAAACAAATCTTATTTGTTTTTCTTTTATAATATTCTTCTTCCGACTTGATATGAACGCGCGCGGCTTTGAGTCGTTCTCATCGACTCTTTTTCGTATATTTACGTTAAATGCACGGTGTTTTTATGGATGCGTTTTTAGTTGGAATTCTCAATTTATCGTAAAATTGGAATATTCTGTGAGTTGAAACGTCGAAGTTTCGCACGACAAACACGAGATGGTTTTTTGTTGGTTCGTTTGTATGTTCGGTTACGATTCCGTTTTGTTATGTTTACGAGTGAAATGTGTAGTAAAATGGTTTTGAGTTCACAAACGAACGATGTGTGTTTGTTGTTGTTGTTTTATTACGATCGAAGCGAAACTTGGCGTGTGCAGATTTCTATCCATCAATGTAGAACTCTGCGACTAGACTGACCTAACAGGCAAATCCACTGTATAGCTGTTGCGTTGCTTTTTTCCGTTCTACTCACCGTGCGTACAAGCTGAACAGTTGTATATACGTCAAATTAGAGTCGATACACAAGCTGTGAACTCACACAGAGACATAAAATCGTATTACACACGAACGCACACACTCACACAGACAGCGCGAACGAGAGAGAGAGATACATTGGCATCGGCAACGAACACACACACGATGTCGCGCGTCTTACAAGCGAATTGGATGTGTGTTGTATTGCGCCGATGCTGGTTCACGCTATACGCGTCTATATTTGACTATAGCCCGTACATGTGATAGTGGGAGCGCAGCAACGTATATATGATATGAACCGTTGTTAGCATGATATTTTTGTTGTCAATGCTTCTGTTGCTGCTGTGATATCTTCCACTAAGTTCTTCTGGATGTGAAAAGAAATCGTCTATACCTTTCTATATTCTATATCGCAATTTCGGTATGAATGGTACCCTGATTTCCTATCATCAAAAGCTCCTCGACTTTCGGATCTGGGCCAATCCTTACTTTTCTTCTTTTTTCTCTCTGTCTTGTTCTTCCGTTTCGGAACGTAAAACAAATGAACTACATTGCGAATCGTTGGATTTGCTTCATTCAAATTCTGCTTTCGATTCATTTCACTATTTTTGGAATAGAATAATGTAATGTCGCACCGAATACATGAGGCATTTTCATATCATCATCGTCTTGATTTGACATTTCAACAGTCTTGAATTTGTACTTTGTACCAGTACAAAAGTGATAAATGGTTCATATGTGTCATAATCAATGACAGTTGAGCTCGAGTCCATTGAGTGTATGAGTGTTGTGTGAACACTGAAATGTGCAGTTTTCGTGTGTACTTTAACGCATTCTGAGGCGCTTAGTCATTCGTTAATGAAGATACCCATATGTAAAGAACTAAGCCAATAAACTATATAACACACTCAGGCAAAGCACGACCAATGCACGCACTGGCCGAACGAGTGACAGAGTGAGGAGCAGTAGCAGCAGCAGCAGAACGGAAAATACACTGAAAATCTATAGAATAAATGTGTAGTATCGCTATAGCGAATCATTGATACCTACGATGATGACGATGAAAACGAAGCTTTGATCCGCTAGGCAAATGTGATGCATACACGTGTGCTGCGCTTGTGGTGGTGTCAAGATATCTGCTGTAGCACGCGGTGTGTACAAAACCGGTTGGTGTTGGTGAATCAAGCAAGCAAGCAAGCGATATAAGCAATGTCGTCGGCAGTAGCATGGGATGTGAAACATGGAAACATTCGAAATAACAACAAACACATGCGCCGTTGGCTGATGGACGCAATGAAAACAATCAAACGATGGAATACACAATATCATCAGCACACGACACTATGTGTATCGGATGGATGTTGTTGTTGTTGGGGAAGCAGCAGCAGCAGCAAAACCATGTGCAACGTACATTCGTACAGTAAGCAACGAGTCAAATGTTCATCGAATTTCTGTTTTTACTGTAAAATTTTTGCGCATGTTACACCGTGTTCGCTGCCCCGTTCTTCATCCCGCCATACCATGGGCAGACCGTGTGTACATCGTACAAATGCTGGATTTTGATTGTGCGAAACATACAACTGATGGTGATAAATGTAAAACATGTTTTTTACATTGCTGATACATGGAGGTCAGTCTCTAGTTGTACAGAAATGCTATCATCCAAATGGACTGATGCTTTTGTTACACATTTTTTTCCGTTCTTTCCTCAATATCATTTGTTGGGCAAGCCCATCATTATTATTCTTATTACAATTTGCTGCACTTTGGAAAAAATAAATTTTTATTTAACTCGGGTCGGTGCGCGAACTATACGTTCGCCAAATGTGTGTGTATGGCATAAATCGCTATTCCGTTGGCACATCACATTTGACTCTTTCAGCGATGATGCGAATGGCCCTGAATCGTACATACGCAAAATAGTGTGTGCACTTGAAACACAAGATCGAATCCGTCTCGTCCGGTGCAAACTGTTGTGTACAAGCTCGTAAAATATGTAGATTATTATTAATACGGCGGACACAATATATAATCGAGTTTTGGTTTGCTTACACTCGTTTTTCGTTTGTTTGCGGGAATCGGGACGCATTGGTTCTGTTTCACATGCGTGTACCTGTACATACTTTAGCTGAATCCCAATATAAATTATTCCACAACTGCTCAGTCGGCATTTATGTTATTGTGCCACAAAAATTTTCATTGTATTCATTTTTGCATGTTAAACCAATCGCAATACATGCGATTCCCTTCGTTAGTTCGACATGTACAAAATTTAAAGTGTTTTTTTTTCTTCTGCTGTTGCTGCTGCGGCTGCAGTTATTGTTGCTGTTGCTGTTGTTAGCATTGAATTTTTTTTTTCGTTTTACAAAACCCGAAACGAACGCTAGCAAAAATTAATTTAGTGCATTTTTAAAGATTGAAATCAATGCTTAATAAATTGCATCAACAATAATTGAATATTTGCCAAGATGCTGAACTAATCGGAAAACGTAAAAAATTTATGATTTACTAAAATAAATGCTCGTAAAAGTTTCGGTTGCCGTTGTTGTTCGTCGGAGTGAGCTGTTCGCATCGACAAATCGCATCCACAGCCGGAGTCAAGCGATGATAGAAAACAAAAGCACTTCGCTTCTCTCTTTCTCTCGTTTCCTCACTCTGCGAGCGAAGTGGGAGAAACCATTGCGAATAGTTTATTTGTTGTAGCTTGACAACATGTTCAATGATCGAATATTGTAAACGATAAAATCAATTCAAATCGCACGATGACATCAAGCGGGCTGTTTTTGTCACATAGTCTTCTCTGCACTCTGCATCAAATGCTAACATGTGCTCGGTGTAAAACAAACACAACTCAGGACAAATAAAACACATTCACTTACGCAGATGCAAAAGAGTAACCGCAACGCGAACGACAACAATTTCGTTGGAGGTTTTTTCTGTTGGTTTGGTTGCATTTACTTTTCTTCAGGCAGCATAACGAAACATACACAAGCGAAAAGCACTCAAGCGCCCCAATATATAAATATGTATAGTTTTTTATGGCCAATTGAAATAAAATTAAATGATCAGGACGGCATCTTACATATATGTTTGAATATTGATTATGTTGATTCGCAAATTGGATCATTCATTTGCATAATACTGTTATTACTCGCTGGACGAAATAATAGAGTGTGTGCGCGTGTATGTGCTCATCGGTCTTAACAGAAAATTGCATGTGCGAACAGAGAATGAAACGAGCGCACTGCCATTGTTTCGAATTGCATGCCATGCAAAATTCCAAGTAAAGCCGCACACCGGTGTGTATACTTTGATGACGAGTTCATGCCGGAGGCGATTTCTACTACACCCTCACTCTCTTACCGACCAAGCCATTCTTGCTGTCCCATTTTTAGTTAATTTCATTCACTTCAATTGTGATTTCATGTTTTACTTTCGCTTCAGGTGCTCTCGGCACTGGTTATGCTGTCATTGTTCGTCTTCATACTGGGTACTTTGTTTTTTTTTTCTTCTACTGCTACTGCTGGCTCTCTTTTTCCTTCCTGTTTTGTTGATTAGATGCCATCGATTGAATAGCATTTCCATTAGTGTGCTCATTGTTTCGGAACGTGGCTTCACATTGTCACAGACAGTTGAAATAAGAGAAGCGATTGAATGACAGTTGGGGTCTTGACAAGTGTCAAACAATGCAGGTGTCAAATTGAATTAGCTCAAATGAATAACAACAATGTCCTCCTGTCTAACAACTTTGTCTTCAACACACGCACAACGTCTCCGTCGCTGGCCCTGTATACCATCGTTGTTTTATGTGATGTACCTTGGCTTTGCTGCGATTGAAGACAGATAAATCAAATCATCGACTTTTCTTGGCATATTTCGATCCATTAGTCGCGCATTTTGAGCGTCGCATTCACGGACGCATTTTTATCTCTTCGAAACATTTCCATTGTTTTTGCTTTTCCATTTGTTGTTTTTTTTCGCTTCTATTTCGTTGAAATCATAATTTTAGATTCACTTCCATAATAATTTGTGACTCTGTATCGTTAGAATCGATCGATTTAACGGGGGAACAAAAAAACGAGGCGAAAACAAGCGAACAGAACAAATTCAAAACTTTCAACAAACAATCGAAGCGAAGCAAAGCAAAACAAATGACTGACGGTGAAAAAATTTCACTTGATATAGAAAAAGTTTGTTGCTGGCTCAGAAAAAAAAAGAGAAATAGAATAGAGAGTGAGAAGGAAAAAAAGAGAATTGAAGATGAATTTTAAAGCAATAGAGTCGAGAAAAATCAGCACATCGAGAAAGATGTTGTACGTGCATCAATGTGTACATATTTGTGGTGTTGGTGTTCGGTGTGTCAGTCGCCGTGTTGTTGGCATACATATGATCCACGTACTTTGAACACTAGACTAAGGTTTTGATTGGTGTGTGTATGTATTTTGCACATATTCTCTCTACTCCCATTTTTGGTTCCATTTATTTTTGCCGTTTCTCGCCGGAGCAAAGAAGTCATACTTCTTCCATGAATCCGATTACGATTGTGGCAACAATGGATAAAGTTTATATACTATAATTTTTTTCTGCTCATTTCTCCCTGACTCAAATGTTACACCGATGCAAACCGTTTATATCTCAATGTCTCCCTAACGTTTCACCAGAATGAGAAAAAAAACCGTTCGTGGTAATATTTGTTCTTTTTTTTCTCGCCTTCTCTCTCACCGTTTCTGCTTCCACTGTTAAAAATCCATATTTTCTAATAATATTGTGAATAGCTAAAGTTCACTTTATTTATTTTCGACTTTACACTTTTATTTCAGCCACAACTGCCCCGGAATGAAAAAAAAACCTCTTTCCATGTTTTACCATGGACATTTCTTTGTCGGTTTTTGGAAACAACTAGTAACGACATCAACATCGAAATACAAACATAGTATTTGGTGTAAACGGTCTTTTTGTT